TTTCTCAAATTTTAAAATTTCTATGCATTATTAAGATACTCACTAGTAAGAGTGAAAATAAATTGAGTTAAAATATGCTTTTTAAAATCTGAAAGCAGTTAAGCTTAACCTCGTTTATTGTTTGAACTTAACTTATTTGTTTAATATTTTTTACGACGTGAACAAATATTTTTAAAGGTTTAGTCTAACCTAAAAGTCTACTTAAAAGCCTTAATTTATAATAAAAATAATAAGCCTGTGAATCTACTTTTACATACACCAACAAATTTAAGTTTATATGACATATGTAACTTTTAAATAAATAAGCAAGCACAGAAATTCAAAACGTTTTAGTTAAAATTTAATACATCACCCACAATCATATCATCGTCATAATTAATTAAATAGGGTGGTATCTTTTAAGTGTAAAATACCTTCTGGGTTACTTAGCCTAATCTTTTTAATTAAATACTTTTTTAAATTTATTTTATTTAATACATATATTTGACCTAAGACTAGTGTAAACTAAATAACAAAAACTTGATATTTTCTGAAAGTTTTAGCATGTGCCCAACTTTTTATTTTGCTTTAACAAAATTTTACTTAATGAGCATACAATAGAAAACGTTTAGGCAGCATTAAACACATTGACATTCCCAAACACTACTCACACACTTTCTTACACAATAACATTCAAACTTTAGTAATTTATTTTACTTATACTTTTAACAATGTAAAGTAAAATAAATAAAACTAGAATGGCATGTATGTACCATGGTACAGTTCACATGTGTCGTGCATTAGGGAATAAGAAAGCGAGGAAAATAAATATGGAGAGGTATATATGTGAATGGATATGATGATGACCAATTCAATCGCAGGGTTGCTCAGCGATCTCACTTCAATGTCTCTTGCAATCAAAGGTACGTTGTGGTCCAAGGAATCAAAGGAGCTACGTGTGCATTGCCACATGATTTTTGTCAACGCTAGAGTAAAGTCAACATTATTAACGGTGAGATGATGATGTGCATGTATGGATGTCAAGTTGGGTCCACAAAATGATTGTGACCACTCTGTGCTGCCTAACATTATCTAAGGATGAATACACCCTTAGTCCTTAGATGGGGAATGATGGCAGTAACGTTTTGGATTCTGTATTCTCACGTGAAGTCTCAGCCCAACTGAACTTCCCAATACTTTTCGGAGAAACTGCAGAGAAACACCCAAGAGTTTTTATATCAGAAAAGATGGTGTTTTATTCTATCGAAATAAAAGCCCCCCCTTTTTTTTATTAATTAAGTTATCTGGTACACCCTCTTTTACTTGTTTGATCGATAATGTTATGGTAAGAAACATCAATTTAGGTACAAATGAGTCAAGCTTGTGGTCCAATCATGTTGCCGTTAAAAACAGTAATATGGCCTCCGGTGATTGATAATGGATTGTGAACTATAAAAACATTGACGAGTCTCCTCCTTTGTGTATATGGAAAAGGCAGTTAAAGAGATGGAAATAAAAACTTAAGGTAAAAAAATGTTAAATACAATATTTTAAAAATTAGTGCTAACTTTTAATATAAATGTTTATTATATTGTTTATCGAGATAAAAATATTTAGTTAAAAATATATTTTATTTAAATGATTAATGTTAGTTTTCTTTTTTCTATGTATATATCTTAAAAGACAAAAGTTATTATTTGAATCAGAATCCTCTTCTGTTTTCGCGTGAAAGCAAAAATATAAAATCAACGTAATTGGACGTCTATAGGAAAGAATTCGGATCCTATTACTTTAAGGTTGTTTTTGCCAAAATTAAAGTGATATTGCCAACTTTCAGGCATTTTATTTTATTATGTCTGTTTAGAAAGCATTTTTATTGACTCTCTCATTTAATTAACGTTTTTAAAATATTTAACGTTCTTCTTTGTTAATCGAACAAAAAATTTAAAAATTAATTAATTATATAGAAATAACAATAAACATAACACATTAATGAAAAAAAGGCATTCTCTTGAACAATACTAAAAGTATAGATTAAATTTTCGATCAAATTTGTAAGACTAATTGTCTAATTCAGAGATTTCATGAAATTTGCTATCTGTTTTTTTTTTTTTTTTTTTCAAGAATGATATTTCATACCCGTTATCGATGTTATCATATAATTTTATAGTAAAAAAAATTAGGAAGAGAACAATTTAAATAAGTTTATCCGTTTCTTTATTTTTATCATGAAAAAGAAAAAGTGTAAAAATATGAAAAACCATTCTTCTTTTTGTTACACAAATCTGCTTTCCATTACTAAAATTATAATTTCTTTCCGATTACAAAATGAACAGTCAAGTAGTTGGTTCATATGGACCACTTAATCAACGTGGAGACCAAAAACTAAGACTAAACCACTTTGGATAAATAAATTAAAACAAAAAAGGGTATATCTTCTGTTGTCTCCATCAAATTGAATGTGACAAAATTAATAGCGTTTGACATGCAAATTATTACATAATTTCAAAACTTCAAAACTCATGGGTTTGATTATGTGATTATGGATAGTCTGTGTTTTAGAGCATTCAGTAGCATATTCCAGAATAACAAGAGAAGAATTAAGCAACGAAGAAACTTATTAAGCCTCAAAAGTGAAAACCCAGAATATGTACTCCAAAAAAATTTCTTTTTGGAGTACATATTTGTCCACACACAAAATTAATATATTATTATTAAGTGATTTTTTTCCCCTAAAAATAGATTTTTATTTCTTTACAACTATATTAATAATAAAGACATTTTACATAAAAAATTAAATTAAAATAACAACAAACATTTATGTATTATAGAAGTATAAAATTTTTTCTCTTCTTTAAGAGTGTTTGTTTGTTTATTTATAATCTGGAGGCAGTGGTATCACTGGTGTGTATACATGATATGTCCACTACCATGACTGGTCCCTCTCTCACTTTCATCATCACGTTGATGTACTCGTTTGCTTTAAAACTGACAACTAAAAGAAACACAATGATTCCAAGATAGTGCATATTCTATCCTTTGGCCTAATTGCTCTATTATCTTTGTTAAACAAAAAATGACTAACATCATAGCTACAAATTTGAATATATTCAATGTATGTTGTCCAATTCTGGTGTTATCCGTTCATTAATTAACAGACAGTTTTGATTGATAGGGACGAAGTTTGGGAGCAACTCTTTGTACATATTTGAGCTTATTTAGCTTCAATTGCATGCATACATGCGTCTATATCGATGATAAGAGTGGCCCTTTATTAAGAACATGCACCAAGACAAAAGCCTAAAACAAACCCTTCAAGGTTTCGTGTTTTTTTGTGGTTAGCGTAAGTATTAGACTAAGAGCGGTTATTTGCAACGCACTACATAGCAATCATTGAATCAATCAAAGCCAAGAATTTATCTGCATTAAGATTGAAATTGTAACTATTCTTAAGATTTTGTTAAATCTAAGTTAATTTAAATACATAGCACACCTTTTTTTTTTTTTTTTTTTTTTTATAAAGTGGCTTTACCACTATTTATAATTTTATATATTTATGAAATTTAAATTATTAATGATTTTAACATATTCTTTATGTTAATTTTTCTTCAGATATCAAGTCTTAAATTTCAGTTGTAATTTGTTTTAAAAATGTTTCTTTTAAAAAAAAAAGACCTTATGTTTTCTTACTTATTTATTTGGATTATATATATTTACATTTTCTTTACCATTTAAATAATTTTTCTTTATACTTTAATTTTTTCTAACTTAAAAAAAATATTCGTACAGTGTTACTTGCTAATTTATCCTAATTTATGACTACGGTATGTCACGTGTTCAACGAATTCCGACGAGTTACAATTCATCACGACCAACTCAAGTAGTATACACACATATATTTTCTTTTTCAACACATTTTAGATTTTCGAAATTGAGATAAATAAAATGAAAAAGCCCAATAAAAAGGGAAACAAAGTTAAAAGAAAAGAAGAAGCAGCCCAATTGACAAATCAAAGTTTTACAAGTAAATATTTGACCACACTTAAATATTTGATCAAGAATTTTTACAAGTAAAACTGTGACATAAACCTTCAAATCAAGGTTGGTGGTTAGATAAAACTCTCTAAAACAACGATTTGAGGATTCAAAGACATTGCATAGTCAAATAACAAAGATTTTCAAGGATCTTAAAGGGAAAAAAAAAAACGATACACTAACCACAAAATTATGAAGACTTACTAAAAAATCTTAAAAACCTAAAATATCCACAACAATGAAAAAAATGTTCTTTGAAGAATTTTATATTGTTATACAAGCTATTCTCAATACTTTTAAATATCATGTCATCAAGTATTAGTAAAAAACAATTTTAAATAAATAACAAAGTATATGATGGATCGATTGTCATCTCGTCACAGAAATTCATGAGTACCCTGTGAGCAAGATATTTGTTTTGATTTATATAGTTAAAGCGGTACATACTAACATATGCAATAATATCTACAAGAAATTTCTAATAATATCATAACATTTCATGCTATTGCTTTTTAGCTCCCAGTTCTATCGCTTTAGTACAATGTACTTACAATACATTAATAAAATTGAAATGCACTCTTACATTATCAACCAATTAAAAGGCGCAGGAATGATGTAATTCTTACTGATATAATAATCTAAAGTTTGTTAACACTATAGAAATTGTTTCATTACCAGTGTATTTCAATCAACTTAAATATTTGCATTTATCAATAACTTGTTTGCATAAATATAATTTAAAACGTTTAGAAGCAACATTTTAGATTAAACTATAAATATTATAAGGTAAGTGCAAAGTAGTAACAGTAAAAAATTTTAGATTCCCCGAAATGTTTTCCCTGTTTACATAACTCAAAGCACCATAAAGAAGCTAAAATACTTGTTTAGCACAACACAGCTTATCAAGCATAGTATTACCCTGATAAATTGAACGCGCTTAGAGTGAATATAGTAATTATTTAGAAAAGCAATTACCAACTATCTAAACAAGAACTTTTGAACTCTAGACCAAACAATGAAATAGTATAGAAATTTGGAGATTCGGATATCATACTACAATGGACTCGTTGCTTACTGGTACAATTCTTTCCTTGATAAAGAAATTACTATATCTGATTCTTTTGAAGCCTAAAAAACAGGGAAACATGGTAAATAGACTAACCTATATATATTCAAGCAGTCATGGCAGATCAAATATGTACATTGCTAGATGAGGCTTGAGACTTAGATAACGATTACCAACAATTACCAAAGGCAAGAGGATTTAGGAGGCTCGGATCATGCAGAAATAAATTTTCATATATTATAATTGACCAAAAATAGAGAATCCATGGTGTTACAAAAATATCTTCTCTTCTTCATGACCCTCTGGTTTCAATAAATTGAAACCTTAAAGGACTACTTTCCTCAAATTGTTTAGTTTCCAAGCTTCTAGGTAACAACTCATGCTGTTGGATACTGTGTCTGTGTTTACATCATGATGTTCTTTTTGTTGTTTAAAGTCACAGCAGAGTTCTTAGAGAATGGAGATGGCCCTTTCATGAGAACATTTTGATCCGAAATTTGAGGATCTATATCCTTCCATGTATGAATATTACAGTTTCAGTTACTTCCCTTGCCTCTTACCTGCAATCCAAGGATCACTAGTTAACAAAAATATCATGCTAACATTATCAATTGATTAGATTTGGAGTAGCACAGTTCCTCAATAACGATTTCAAGAAGTCTAGGCACAAAAAAGATGGAGAAAAGAGAGAACAATATGTAACAAAACCAACTGTTGTTTCTTATGTAATAATCTTCTTGATATTACTGTCACGTACCTCTCTGAAACCATGATCTTCTGACAGTACGCCGGATGTGACGCTCGTGTTTTTCTAAGAGCTCATCAACTGTGTGCATTTGAGATAGTAGGGGCCCTGAAAACTCAACCTTTTCTCCTTGATCTTGATAACTCTGTTGGGAGGGAAATAAATAAGAATAATGTCTATGCAAGGAAACATAAATCGCATAGTCTGGCTTCTGATCCAAGAAAAATAATAACCAGGCGAGTCAAGTAAAGAGTAAACTTCAATTTTTTAAGTAATTATTGCAAAAACAAGTTCTTGGTTTTTGAGAAATCAATTTTTTTGGGGGAGTTTGAAAGAGCTTTTAGAGAACTTATGACTTCCATAAATTCTTTTTAGCTTATTTTAGTAAGTTTGTTACGAAGTTTATAAAAATAAAAGCCTTTTTAGCTTATTTCAATAACTTTCGTGGCCAAATTCATGACATAAGCTCTCATATAATAAGAGCTTACAAGCTTAACCAATTAAACTGTTTATCAAAAAACACCCTCTATCCTAGTAGGAGATCAGATAGTTGAATTATCCTCTAAGAAAGATATTAAATTTTTTTACAGCTCACTAGTCTTAACAATGCCAATAACAATATTGGAAATTGCAACAAAATATGACTTTTGAAGTTTAAAGAATACCCTATATCATCACAAGTTCCAAATTTTATCTTGCAAAAAGAATCCTACATCAGTCTCCACGTATGGAAACAAAAACAGAACAAGATGTAACAAGAGGCGCTTAATTTAGATTCATCCCTCAGAAGATGATATCTAATGCTTAATACCGTATTCATGAATGTGGCAAACTTGTAAACTTACCAGGTTACTTCTCTTGGATAGTGAGTCTTCCCTGTGATAAAGAGCCACAGATAGTTCTTGTGAATGGTATTCTTCAGAAGTATCAAATGAATCTGGACGATCAAACTTACTCCATTGATTTTGCATTGCAAGCTTAGAAATTTCAGGTAGGTCATGATGGCCCCTAAAGTTGGTGTGTGCCCCAAGAAAGTCCTTATTTTCATAGTTTATGGATTCAGAATTATTCCTTAAATTTATTGTTGAAGTTTCTAATGAATTAAAGATATATCCTCTAGAAATCGACCGAGTGTGGGATCTAATTGAAGTGTCATCTCTACGCCTTTTTGCCCATGCAAAACCACTTGATTTTGAAACTTGTAATGGACCAGGAAAGGGAATATCTACTTGAGATGCATTCTTCATCTGGGAAGAATCTTCTGGTTTACCACTAGATTGCTTTGGTGCCTCCTCACCTGTGTTAGTGTTCTCTTCTTTAAGGATGTGGACGTATCTATCATCCATCTTGTGTGAAGTTTGAGTTTGACTGGTAAAATCCTGTTAGAGAAAAGCAATATAGTTGGTGAGAATTAATTTTTGGTAATTAGTCCACTGCTGCAAACTAGTATGCATTAATAAGAAACATAGTGATAAAAGAAGAAAGAATGAAAGATAGACCTCTGCTGGAGCTAATTTACTCAGTCCTAGTGGCTTTCTTGATGGTTTTCTTGTTTCTGGTCCACAAACTCGTCCACCAATCTTTTTCCTGTAAGTTTGTCACCATAAGATTTTATGAAAAGGGAACAAGTAATAATTGAAAAAATGGAAAGCTTTGTTTATTATGCTCAATAATACTTAAAAAGGTTCACAACATTTTTTCAGTAATACAACCTTAGAGTGGCATATCAGGACACCAAACTGATCCTTGGCGATATATCTAAAAAACATAATCTACTTCCAACTCCCAGAGGAAGATAGAAAATTCAATATTCCAGCCCCTTCTTTGACATTCATGTTATTTTGACCTAATAACTATATGTTTTTCTCATTATCTGAAAACATTTATTTCTAGTCCCAATTGTTGACTTTTCTTAATTCACTGCACAAGTATGTTCATTCAAGTGACGTTTGAAACATGAAAGATGAAGAACCAAACCTAGAACCCGATAAAGCATTCAAACAAACAGTTCTCTAATGGATCAGCCTAGAAAATCAAAGTATGGCAATACACTTGACCAAGTGAATTTGCACTGGTGATATGTGACAATCTAAATCCTAGGATTCTAGCCAACAAAACTGCACAAAATAGACTGTGAAAATGATTTTCACCTTCTTGACTCCTCCTCGTGTTTTGCATCAATCTCCTTGCTAGGAGGGTATACTGGTAAGCTTGATGGGTCACATGCATAAGGTTTTGTTTTGAAATACTGAAAATGATAAAGTTGTTGGGTCAGAAGACTAGATGACTCCAAAACCATCAATGCTTCACATAGTCATAAAAGTTTGCAGATGGATGATGCACAGATTTGTGCCTAGGACTAATATCAGTAAAAAGAAAAGATTTATTTGGATTTTATAAAAGTTTCAAAAAGTATTATCAAATTCAAAATGGACAAAGGCAATCAAAGACTATGTTCTGCAATATAGATATCAACCGCACACCGCTAAGTTAAACTACCTCCAACGAGAGAGCAGATGAGGCAGTCCCACGTTTGTTTGGTTCAACAGAAAGAAGAGTTTGTATAAGATTTACACTGCTTGCAGGAAAATCTTTAAATGTCTCTCGGAGGCAACTGTCATATGGTTGCTGGGGCTTGAACAAAGTTGCATGAGGAAGTCTGGTCTTTTTCCAGTATTCATCGGGTGGGGAGCCACAAAGCTTGAAAATTTTGTGCAATTGTTCAACCTATATGTATAACAAAGTTCAATTCACAAGATATTCAAAAGAACAGTTAAATAACAATATTAAAGTTGTCATTTCTTGTTGTGATTCATTTATTATCAATTAGCTGGTTAACAATCCATCTATTTAGTTCTCTCCACTGTATCGATATCATAAACAACTGAACATGCAACAATAGCATCAATGTCAAACAAACCAATAGTTAGATTGCCACAAAACCTCATGAAATAGGAATCAGATTAAAATTTCTACCTTGTTCACTTATTATTGGCAACTACGTAGGATTTATTTTGAAATTTACAAAATTGATTCGGATATAGTAATGTAAGAGAAACTAAGAATAAACCTCAAATCAGTTTGTAGGCATGATATGAGTGCACCACTTTCTTGGAGAGGAAGAACAAGACAGTTGAAAGTTGTGACTGATATCTAGATAACATGAATTTCTAGTTTTGGTTGAGACTTAAAAGACATTCTCTGAAATGCATGAGGTAAGGTGACACAAACAGAAGGCCACTAAGCATCTGATCCGATTCTTATGCATCAGCAAATACCATAAAACCCTTTAATAGAAAAGTGGTTTACTATTTGTCTAATAAGATCTAATCCAACTTTCAGATTTACACTAATTTGCATCATCAGAGGGGAATCTGATTCTGAAAAGGTATCGAATGTGGGAAGGAAAAAAGTCCATACATTTTGAAAAGGTTACTTTACTACCTCAGTTCTCCCCTGAAGTATAGGCTTCCCAACTAGCAACTCTGCAAATACACAGCCAACACTCCAGAGATCCACAGATGCACCATAATCTGTTGAACCAAGCAAAAGTTCTGGAGGACGATACCATAAGGTGACAACACGGCTAGTGAGAGGTTGCTTGTTCCCAGAATTGCAAAAGTTTGCCAACCCAAAATCTGCCACCTTCAATATCCCTTCATTATTCACCAGAAGATTTGATCCTTTGATATCTCTGTGCATTACACCCCGCGAGTGACAATGCTCAAGACCAGATAACAACTGTTTCATGTAACATTTGATCTGCACAACAAAATTATTTCGTCCCTTTAACTAGCCAACAAACAAGATTGCATCACAACGACCATGCAATATTCTGTAGCACTTATGCTGTATGAGAAGCAAAGAAACAAATGTGCAATATTCATGACAATGGGAAGCTAAAATACCTGTGGTTCACTAAACTTGATTTCTGGTCTAGACAAGAGCCCTGTGATGTCGTGCTCCATGTACTCAAAAACAAGGTATATGCTACAAGACAATCTAGAAGTAATCAAGCCCTCCAGTTTAATGATGTTCGGATGATCAAGCCTTCTAAGAATCATTATTTCTCGTGCCATAAACCTTACACTCTCTGGCTCAAAATTGTCAAATCTCACCTTCTTCAGAGCCACTATCTTCCCAGTCTCAATCTCCTTTGCTCGAAAAACACTACTATATGTACCCTGCCCAATCTATTAATCCATTTTGCAAATTGAACAAAAAGTCAAAACAATGAACATTAGTAGAAAAAGCAGCATTTTATAAACAATTCAAGAAAAACCAATTACTCAATATACATTTATATCATTCCAACAAGAAAAAATCAATCACTCGATACACATTTATTATCAATAATGAACATCGAGAGAAAATAGCAGCATTTTATAAATAATTCAAGAAAAACCAAGCACTCAATTTACATTTATATCATTCCAACAAGTTTAACAAATCTAATCCTTGACCATAAAATTCAAAGAACTAAATTTTAAAAAAAGTAAGCACTTAATTGAAAAAAAATCGTGTTTTTTTCTTCAAGATAAGTTAAACTAAATATGCACTAATCAAATCATAAATTCAAAACAAAAAAAAATTGAGAAAAAATTATTTTATTGATAATTATATATGATTGAATGGTAGTTGTCATCGTATGAACCTTATCAAGTTTCTCAAATGCATCAGCTCGAAGAGGCACCCAACCGTGAATGGCTTCACAGGCGACGGCGCTGAGCCACGCCGGCCAACCCGCCGCCGCTTGTTCTCCCTCCACATACTTGCTGAGGTTCCCCAATCTGAAGCTCAGAGACTCACTTCCACCATTCGAACTCGCCCTCCCTGACTCACCCAACTCGCTCCTACTCGCTCCCACTGACTCAGTCTTCTTCTTCCTGTTGTTCTCCAACTCAACCGAGTGGTCAATAGCAGGCGTCACCGACACCGCCTGCTTCACCACCACACACCCCATTACGCCTCACTGCACCATATCATTCCCCAACACCTGCAGGTTCCGACACACAACGACACCGGTTCACTTGGTCCGGTTCCTGTGGTCAAGTTAGCTCCTTTGGGAACTGCAGAGGACGAGGGAGAGCATCAACAACTGTTTAACAACGCAAGGGGAAATGGGTCGGTTTTTTAAACCCCGCATGATAAGAACTCAGACACAGACACCAACGTAGGACTTTGTTTCATTCGCTTTCTCACTCTTTTTGTTTCTCCGGCAATTGCGGAGAGAAGGTGGATGTTGGGATCTTAATGAGGCTCACTGAAACACAGCACCGAAATCAACGGAAGAATAAGAAAATTTTGTTGTATTTGCCTTTTGAAATACCGGTTTTGCTTAGTATTTGTTTGTGTTGTTATAGGTTTGTTTTGCGTGTGTTGAAGTGAAAGGTAAACTAGAAAGTCAGGAAATTTTGCATGGGATTGGATTAGAAGCGCGCGTGTGAAAATGGGATGTTTTGTTGTACGTGTGAGATATATATTCCATTTTCATTTCTGTCATGTCATGTCATGCTAATCATCAATAATTGTTAATGACAATTAATATTGCTTCCACACTGGTAAATATTATTGGGTCGTTGTTGTTGTGCGATTAATGGGTCTGTAATCTTTGTTTGCTTATAAATTTCCATTTTCTTTGAATTTAAGATTTTAAGATGTTTTTTTGTTCATACTTCATGCACCACTTTACTCGCGTGGGGACAGGGCAATAAAAGGGTGGTTTTAATATGCTCTAGGGTAATTAATTTTAAAAAACAACATAAATTTGTAGTAATAATTGTCCATGTAAAATTTTTGCTTAATTTTAACTGTGTTTACAGTTATGCCATCGCTGACATTTTCATCGTTACTTTTGTCAGTTTATTGACTTATAGTCCAAGTATTGTTGGGTTTGATTTTGAAAGGTTGAAATAATAATGGGGCGGGCACACCTTTGCTACAAAAATTTCTTCATGGTTTTGACACTATCTTCTTCCTATCCTGGATGTTGTTGATATTGACCACAGTTCTCTCTTTCTTAGAGATAACGCTTTGGAATGTTGGATATTTCTAGTGGGTAGAAAGCATGCTGCTAAGGATAGGCCTGACTTTGAGAATTGAGAGTCTGGGACCATTTTTATATATGGGAAAGTTTTCCTTCCATTTGAATTTGATTAAGATAAAAACAGTAAATACGTTTGACAGTTTAACTGTTGCCTGCTAATAGTATTTTCCTTATATTTCAACATTTCTTTTTAGGCGTAGAAGATAAGAAAAGGAAGACCAATATTTTTGTTCAATTAATACAAAACAAGAAGTGGTGTTTTAATTAATGATTCCTTTTGCTAATGCATTTAGGACTTTAGTACAATGATTAGGCATGGTGTATCCATAGCTGACTTGAGTGAAAGAAGGATAGCATGATGATTGGATGCCCAAACCCTTGCCTGCCTCATTAATCTGCCCGCCTTATTTTCAGTATGCTGTTTTTTAAGTAACCTAAGAGAGAGGAAAAAGTTTGTAGTGTAGCCCCCACTATCTTTTTCTTTTTCTTAGTGACAAAAGCAAAACGGGCTTCAAGCTTCCAACAATTATTTTCACCATTATCATTACAATTGCATATAATTTACAGCACTCTGGAATCCTAGAATAATAGCTTGGAATAGGATAAAGTAAAATAGGTGAATAAGTTATCCTGTTTTTGCAAGTCTTGTTATTTACCTAAATCATGGTTAGTGCTGTTATGCACATATATTAAGCTTGTGAATTTAGCCACAGGGACATACCATACTAAGAAAACATAATTTGAGGAAATTAAGGTCAAAGGTGAGGGATTGAGGGGTGCTAATATTGGAGAGGGGACTGAGTTTATCCCTTAACAAATAATTGATATTAATAGTTTTGAGTTAAGCTTCAGAATTAGCTAGAGAAATGTGAGGTAATAATAGCGGAAGGTGTCATCTAATTCAGCTGATAAAGTCTTTTGTAGTTGATTGCAAGGACTTGTGATTAAATCCCAACTTCATTCATCTTCCTTCCAAGTAAGTTTCACAGATTAAAACGCAAAGTGCAACTCTAGTCTATTCAGATTCATCCATAAACATTCATCCACTAAAATTAAATTAAAAAATAGGAAATATATAAGTATCTAAACTAAAGAGAATTGTAAATTTGTAAGGAAAGAATTACACAACATAGTTTTTTTTTCTTTGTTATAAAGTTACAAACTTCCTTTTATCAGTTCTACATGTGGTGTGTTTTTGTCATCACTGATGCACACTAATAATAGTTACTCTCTTTACCAATCACTTCTGCACCCTCTTACCCCTAGAAAAAAAGATGGCTCTGATAAAAGCCATAATTGCTGCCTCGTGCCTCCCGTGATCTTTTCAAGATCTCCCTCAAAGAAGGAGGAGCACTCAGAACCAATCATACATATAAACAATACAAAAGTGATAACCAATAAATAGATTTATAGATGAAACTACGCAAGAAATCTTTACATTAAATCGACGAAAATAAATGTACATGAAACCTTATGTAAATATACAATTTAAAAGAGGGGATGAAAAGTGGTAAATAGCAAAGTTAAAGGAGCAAAAGTTTTATCTTTTACAACCTTGCACCCATCTTTCCGTAAAAAGGTTTCAACCCAGTTAAAAGGAAAAAATGTGATGAGCTGCATAGTATTTATTGCAGGGGTAAAAACAAAGAAGAAAAAGTCCTCAAATTTTTTAATATATGGTTGATCAGATAAAATAATATTTTTCATGCATTTATTAAATACTTCAGACATTTTGACAATGTTGGCTCGGTAATTATGACAAAAGCTGTTAGTGCCATAAGTGCCGTGGACTTGTGTTTTAAAATTGCAGCTTGATAAAAATGACAAGAAACAGAAAAGAAAAACCGCGTGCACCAAAACAAGAATAAACTGACGAAGTTAATTTCTAAACAAGGAAACAACTCAAACAAGCCAGTAAATGTGCATAAAAAGAAACAAGTGAGTAAATGTGATGTTGAACAAAGCATGTGAATTCAAAATGTTGTGATTAATTTTTTAATTCTTTTTTTTAAATGTTAGAGCTGAGTTTAAGTGTCTAACTTTTCTTTTAAAATTACTAATTTCATTTTTGTAACTTTAATGTACTAAACATTTTTTAATAAAAAAAGTCACTTTTGAATACTTAAATTAATCTAACTATTATTGCTCTGGTTAACAAAATGTCATTTTTTTATACTTGGTGGAGAAAGCATTTCGGCATTTCCCTCTATCGTTGGAAGAGATGTCAAAGGAACTGAAAACCAACAATAGTGATTAAAAAGAATAAAGGGTTATCAAATGAAGAACAAAAGAAGGTGGTTGTGGTAGGTCAAAGTTTGGTCACAAGTGGGGGATCCATGTCAGGATTTGCTTTATAACTATGGTTTAGTTGGTGCAAATATTGACTAGAGAACCTACATACGCTTAGTGAAATGAAAAACAGGCATCCGCAAACAATGGACAACAAGGGAACCATAATACAACAACATTTCCTTTCTTTGTTTTATTTCTTTTTCTGCTCATATCCTGGCCAAGTAACATGTTTATGTTTTCCCTCTTAATGATTAGGAAGGTAGAAGCTAACCATATCACTCAAGAACATGCAAATTCTTCAAGGTCGGATATAAAGTTAACTCAATGAAGCTAGTAGGGTATCAGTTTATTTTTCATTTTCATATAAAAATTATCCACGGTCTACTTTTACTAATGTTTGTATGATCTGGAAATTTGAAAGAAATATGTTGTCTCCGTCATCATCATTAATATTTAGCATTTACATAATCATCTTTAGATTCTCTAGTGCGATGAAGTGGCGTAATTCTCCTTTTAAAGTTAGCTAATAATAATGTTTTTATTGATTATTTAATTTTGAAAAGCATATCATAACTTCAACCCACTAAAATTTATCATTCGATACATCTTTTTTTTTTCTTTTTTATTTCAAAGATCAATTCACTTTACCAAAATTTTTCATTAAAGCTACTGTAATTTAAACGTATGGTTCTTACTTAAATGTACTGTCAATAATATTTAGCTCAAAGAGAGTTAAAATGTTAAATGTTATGGGATCAAGTGTCGAATACTAACAGTCCCTTTTCATTTCGAATTGTTTGTCCAAAGAGTCAAAAGATAGCGTGAGAAGACCAACTTAGGTAGTAATATTAATTCCCTTTTGTTAAGTACTACCAACTTAGTTATATTATTATATAAACCTCAGGGAAACATTTATTTCTAAGGCGAACGAGAAAGTTAAGGCTTAGTATGATAATCATTAGATTATGTTGTTATTATCTATTGGAAATTAGTCAAAATCAATCGTACTAATATTGCTATTGTTGCCCTAAACTACTTGCTTTACGCAATTAATGTTATTAATACCGATGTATGTCAAATGCAAGAAGCTCTAATTCCAGCATAATTACCAAAATAATAAATTAAAATTTTCATCAGCAGCTCTTTGGGAATTTAAGCCTGTCCACTTAAACTAAATTTTAAAATATATAACACTTCATCATTCTCACACGTTCAACAGAATTTAACCTCGTCCGTTTGCTTGCAGCAGCAAATAGATGTTTCCAGATTCATAATTCACATGTTTGCTTTTCTGATCTAATGAATTAAATGGAAAAAAATCACATTAAATAAACACCCTTTTTCTCCCTTTACATTTTTTAATCTACAATCTAGTGTTCCATAACTTTTTCTTAATCCCAAATGTAAGTTCTGCTGACATGAGTGCCAATGTGATCCCATGATGTCACCCATCACAGACGCATGACATATCCATACGTTCTATTGATTTTTTGTTGTTGTCATGATACGTTCTATAGATTTGAAAACTAATACTTTCGTTTTTGAGAAGAAGTGGACTACAATGAAATGGTTTATAGGGTGATTTGGTCCAAGCCCACATGATCATGTTATGGTTGAATGAAATGGGCTGAGCTCTAAGGATAAAAGTAGATGCAAGAATATATTAAGTCTTTAAACTTGGGTGTCATTGTCATTAATACAATATAGCATAAATTAATTACAACTTCATGAATTACAAGTGCAAAGATTGGCTTAGACTGAATATTATTAAAGTTGATAGTTCTCTGGATACTATTGTTTATTTGATTTTGTGGCATAATAGGAATGTAGATTTTAAAAACTTAGCTATGAAGGATTGGGAAGTTATCAACAGAATCAGTCTTTTATGAAGATATTCAGAAATCCTGCATGACTATCTCTCACCACAGACCTATTTGTTATGTCACTTTGGTCTCCTCCTCAGGATCAAATCATTAAAATGAACGTTGATGGAAGTGCCTTCGAAAATGCAGGAAGAGTTTGAGAAGATGAATATACAAATGTGATTTGTGAGTTTGTGAGTTAGATTCTATAGGCACAAAACTCATGCATCAAAATGTTAATAGATTTCACT